GCCCTCCAGTATTTTCCATGTGTATTTATTTGATATCTCTCTCTCGTCTCCTTTCTGAGACGTAATAGTGGCTTTAGGCATTGTATGTACTAGCTCTATCTATAAAGCCAACAAACTTGTAAATCTCTTTATGTATGTACCGTACCTAAATAAAGATTATTATTATTATTATTATTATTTCTAGTGAGTACATTCGGAGAGCTTTGAGACGATTCCAATAATTTAGGTGCTTTATCGTGTCTATTTATGCCGTATATATTCTTTGTATTCCCCTCTATTTCTGCAATCTCTCCCGCTCTGAAAGGGAAAGTCAGTATCAAGTAGTACTCAAGACAGGACAGCACAAGTGATTTGAATAGTACAACCATTGTGATGGGATCCTTGGATCTGAAAGTTCCCGTAATCCATCCTATAAATTTTTAGCTGTCGCAATATTTTCTTGGTTATTCTCCCTAAACGTTAGGTCGTTAGACATCATTATCCCCAGATCCTTTGTGTGTGATCCTTTTCCTACTATTGCAGACCTGATTGTGTTTTGTACCCTCTATTTTGTTTAAGGTCCTCATTTTTAACGTACCTGAATACCTGGAATTTATCACTGTTAAACATCATGTTATTTCTTGCTGCCCAGTCGAAAACTTTATTAATAAATATCTGCTGGTAGTTTTCAATGTCTTCAGCAGAAGTATTTTTCATGCTGATTTTTGTGTCAACTGGAAAGGATAATAAAAAAGGAAAGCTGCAAAGGAAGCTGTGACTTGTATTTTTGTCTATTTCTGATATGAGGATAAGGAAAAGCAGTGCAAAGTCTGTACTCTTAGGTACAGAGCTTTTAACTGCACTTATTGCATTACTGCAATGAGTATCTTGCATTTCTTTGCGAGTGTTTACTAATGTCTTTCATGATCCTCCTTTATTTCTTGTGTTGGCCCCAATAACTTTAAATTACTATATTACTCTGGGTTCTGTTATGTTCCAAACAAGATGTATGAGAAAGAATCCAGTTGCTTTTCTAAACTACTTTGTTTCCATCCTGTTATTAATGTAAATAAACTACTATACTATTCTTCAACTACTGACTCCATATTGTAATAGTCTATGCCTGTCAACCTTAAGTATCACCATTTTGGCATTTATTTGGTATTGTCCATGAAGCCTATTCGAATACAACGTTGTGTCAAAATTTCAGAGCAATCGGTAATGAGGTTTCGAAGATTTCCCTCATATGAAAAACATATGAAAACAGTTTTTCAAAAAAGCATGCTTTTCCCCCGTCACAAAACGTATCACCTATAGAGCATTTATATAAAATCCCGCTCGGATGTGAATGGAACGTTGTGTGAAAATCGTTCTAACCTTGTTAGCTTACTTGTTCTTTAGTACAAAGTGTTGTACCCTCTCACACCTTTAGTACAAAGTGTTGTACCCTCTTACACCTTTAGTATAAAGTGTTGTACCCTCTTACACCTTTAGTACAAAGTGTTGTACCCTCTTACACCTTTAGTATAAAGTGTTGTACCCTCTTACACCTTTAGTACAAAGTGTTGTACCCTCTCACACCTTTAGTACAAAGTGTTGTACCCTCTTACACCTTTAATACAAAGTGTTGTACCCTCTCACACCTTTAGTACAAAGTGTTGTACCCTCTCACCCCTTTAGTACAAAGTGTTGTACCCTCTCACACCTTTAGTACAAAGTGTTGTACCCTCTTACAACCTTTAGTACAAAGTGTTGTACCTCTCACACCTTTAGTACAAAGTGTTGTACCCTCTCACACCTTTAGTACAAAGTGTTGTACGCTCTCACACCTTTAGTACAAAGTGTTGTACCCTCTCACACCTTTAGTACAAAGTGTTGTACCCTCTCACACCTTTAGTACAAAGTGTTGTACCCTCTCACACCTTTAGTACAAAGTGTTGTACCCTCTCACACCTTTAGTACAAAGTGTTGTACCCTCTCACACCTTTAGTACAAAGTGTTGTACCCCTCTTACACCTTAAAATAATATTAAAACAAAAATAACTTAAGTTTTCCAAGAAGCATTTTCCTTAATAGTGGTTTCATTAGTATGTGTAACTCTTGTACCTACTTGTACATTACTCTTATGTTCTTTGTGCACATTCTTTTGAATAATAATAATAATAATAATAATAATAATAATAATAATAATAATTTATTATTATTATATTATTATTATTATTATTATTATTATTATTATTATTATTATTCAGAGTCCCAGTAGAACAGTCGGGTTCGTTCTCGACATTCAATAAAAAAATTATAGGTTGGAATCCGGGCGAAACAGAAATGGTTAGGCATATTTCCTTTCACCTAATGGCCAGTTCATCTAGCAGTAAGTAGGTTCTCAGGAGTTAGTCAGCTTGTTGTGGGGCTGCATCCTGAATGGGGGTCAGTAGTTCGATCTGGGGGGTTGGGAGACATCGATATTAGCCTAATGTGTATTAATACACTCTTGCTTCCTGTCCCCTAACGCAATTATTGTGTCGGGGGGGGGGGGGGGGGGACATTATTATTATGCAATTTTCAAGAACATTACTTTTTAGCTTAGTTATCCATTTAAAAGACGCCTGAAAACTACCTGTTTTCTTTGGAAAGCATTCATTCTCTTTATATACATTTAGGATAGACGCATTCAAATTCAAATTGTATGGATGCCAATACGAGAACAGAAACGCATAAGGCGAACGGTATCAGAAGTATTCCATTCACCAAGAATTATATCGCGGGACAAGTGACCGCGGGGGACGGTCGGGAAGCAAGACACACGCTCGTCCTGGAAGTCTGGACATTCAACAAGGATATGCACGACCTTAAAGGCGACAATGCAATTTGTACAATACGGAGCAGGGCGACGGTGCATTAATTGGTCGCCGCCTTGAACTGAGGTGAATACAAGTACTATGCCTGGGGTGCCAGGTGCCTGCGGGGGCACCGCGCCTGGGGTGCCAGCGTGGGCACCGCGCCTGGGGTGCCAGCGTGGGCACGGCGCCTGGGGTGTCAGCATGGGCACGGCGCCTGGGGTGTCAGCATGGGCACCGCGCCTGGGGTGCCAGCATGGGCACGGCGCCTGGGGTGTCAGCATGGGCACCGCGCCTGGGGTGCCAGCATGGGCACCACACCTGGGGTGTCAGTATGGGCACCGTGCCAGGGGTATCAGCGTGGGCACCACACCTGGGGTGTCAGCGTGGGCACCACACCTGGGGTGTCAGCGTGGGCACCGCACCTGGGGTGTCAGCGTGGGCACCGCGCCTGGGGTGTCAGCATGGGCACGGCGCCTGGGGTGTCAGCATGGGCACGGCGTCTGGGGTATCAGCATGGACAACGCGCCTGCGGTGTCAGCATGGGCACGGCTCCTGGGGTGTCAGCATGGCCACGGCGCCTGGGGTGTGAGCATGGGCACGGCGCCTGGGGTGTCAGCATGGGCACGGCGCCTGGGGTGTCAGCATGGGCACGGCGCCTGGGGTGTCAGCATGGGCACGGCGCCGGGGATGTCAGCATGGGCACGGTGCCTGGGGTGTCAGCATGGGTACCACACCTGGGGTGTCAGCATGGGCACGGCGCCTGGGATGTCAGCATGGGCACGGCGCCTGGGGTGTCAGCATGGGCACGGCGCCTGGGGTGTCAGCATGGGTACCACACCTGGGGTGTCAGCGTGGGTACCACACCTGGGGTGTCAGCATGGGTACCACACCTTGGGTGTCAGCGTGGGCACCACACCTGGGATGTCAGCATGGGCACGGCGCCTGGGGTGTCATCGTGGGCACGGCGCCTGGGGTGTCAGCGTGGGTACGGCGCCTGGGGTGTCAGCGTGGGTACGGCGCCTGGGGTGTCAGCGTGGGTACGGCGCCTGGGGTGTCAGCATGGGCACCTCGTCTGGGGTGCCAGCATGGGCACCACACCTGGGGTGTCAGTATGGGCACCGTGCCTGGGGTATCAGCGTGGGCACCACACCTGGGGTGTCAGCATGGGCACCGTGCCTGGGGTGTCAGCATGGGCACGCCGCCTGGGATGTCAGCATGGGCACGGCGCCTGGGGTACTAGAGTGGGCACCACACCTGGGGTGTCAGCGTGGGCACCACACCGGGGTGTCAACGTGCGCACCACACCAGGGTGTCAATGTGGGCACCACACCGGTGGTGCCAGCATGGGCCCCGCGCCTGGGTGCCAGCATGAGCCCCACGCCTGGGGTGCTAGCATGGGCCCCGCGCCTGGGGTGCCAGCATGGGCCCCGCGCCTGGGGTGCCAGCATGGGCCCCGCGCCTGGGGAGCCAGCATGGGCCCCGCGCCTGGGGAGCCAGCATGGGCCCCGCGCCTGGGGTGCCAGCATGGGCCCCACGCCAGGGGTGCCAGCATGGGCCCCACGCCTGGGGTGCCAGCATGGGCCCCACGCCTGGGGTGCCAGCATGGGCCCCACGCCTGGGGTGTCAGCATGGGCACGGCACCTGGGGTGTCAGCGTGGGCACGGCGCCTGGGGTGTCAGCGTGGGTACCACACCTGAGGTGTCAGCGTGGGTACCGCACCTGAGGTGTCAGCGTGGGTACCGCACCTGGGGTGTCAGCGTGGGCACCGCGTCTGGAGTGCCAGCGTGGGCACCGCACCTGGGGTGTCAGCGTGGGCACCGCACCTGGGGTGGCCAGCGTGGGCACCGCACCTGGGGTATCAGCGTGGGCAACGCACCTGGGGTATCAGCGTGGGCACCGCACCTGGGGTATCAGCGTGGGCACCGCACCTGGGGTATCAGCGTGGGCACCGCACCTGGGGTATCAGCGTGGGCACCGCACCTGGGGTGGCCAGCGTGGGCACCGCACCTGGGGTGGCCAGCGTGGGCACCGCACCTGGGGTGGCCAGCGTGGGCACCGCACCTGGGGTGGCCAGCGTGGGCACCGCACCTGGGGTATCAGCGTGGGCACCGCACCTGGGGTATCAGCGTGGGCACCGCTCCTGGGGTATCAGCGTGGGCCCCGCGACTGGGGGTGGCCAGCGTGGGCCCCGCGCCTGGGGTGGCCAGCGTGGGCCCCGCGCCTGGGGTGGCCAGCGTGGGCCCCGCGCCTGGGGTGGCCAGCGTGGGCCCCGCGCCTGGGGTGGCCAGCGTGGGCCCCGCGCCTGGGGTGGCCAGCGTGGGCCCCGCGCCTGGGGTGGCCAGCGTGGGCCCCGCGCCTGGGGTGGCCAGCGTGGGCCCCGCGCCTGGGGTGGCCGCCTGGGGTGGCCAGGGGTGGCCAGCGTGGGCCCCGCGCCTGGGGTGGCCAGCGTGGGCCCCGCGCCTGGGGTGGCCAGCGTGGGCCCCGCGACTGGGGTGGCCAGCGTGGGCCCCGCGACTGGGGTGGCCAGCGTGGGCCCCGCGACTGGGGTGGCCAGCGTGGGCCCCGCGACTGGGGTGGCCAGCGTGGGCCCCGCGCCTGGGGTGGCCAGCGTGGGCCCCGCGACTGGGGAGGCCAGCGTAGGCCCCGCGACTGGGGTGGCCAGCGTGGGCCCCGCGCCTGGGGGTGGCCAGCGTGGGCCCCGCGCCTGGGGGTGGCCAGCGTGGGCCCGCACCTGGGGTGGCCAGCGTGGGCCCGCACCTGGGGTGGCCAGCGTGGGCACCGCACCTGGGGTGGCCAGCGTGGGCCCCGCGCCTGGGGTGGCCAGCGTGGGCCCGCACCTGGGGTGGCCAGCGTAGGCACCGCACCTGGGGTGGCCAGCGTGGGCACCGCACCTGGGGTGGCCAGCGTGGGCACCGCACCTGGGGTGGCCAGCGTGGGCACCGCACCTGGGGTGGCCAGCGTGGGCACCGCGCCTGGGGTGTCAGCGTGGGTAGAGTGGGAGGAGAAAGAAGAAGTGGACAGAAATGTAAAGATAAATTACTAGCAGGAAGCGCCTGGAGGCAGGTTATCCCAGGTGTGGCAGTGGGGGGTTATCCCAGGTGTGGCAGGGGGGGGGGGTTATCCCAGGTGTGCAATCCTGAGGGGGTAGTGCAATCAATGTAGCACCCCCTGGTTGGTGGTACAACCCAGGTAGCACCCCCTGGGTGGTGGTGCAACCCATGTAGCACCCGCTGGGTGGTGGTGCAACCCATGTAGCACCCCCTGGGTGGTGGTGCAACCCATGTAACACCCCCAGGGTGGTGGTACAACCCAGGTAGCACCCCCTTGGTGGTGGTGCAACCCATGTAGCACCCCCTGGGTGGTGGTGCAACCCATGTAGCACCCCCTGGGTGGTGGTGCAACCCATGTAGCACCTCCTGGGTGGTGGTGCAACCCATGTAGCACCCCCTGGGTGGTGGTGCAACCCATAAAGCACCCCCCTGGATGGTGGTGCAACCCATGTACAGCACGCTGGGCTTGTGATCCTGTGGTCCTGGGTTCAATCCCAGGCGCCGGCGAGAAACAATGGGCAGAGTTTCTTTCACCCTATGCCCCTGTTACCTAGCAGTAAAATAGGTACCTGGGTGTTAGTCAGCTGTCACGGGCTGCTTCCTGGGGGTGGAGGCCTGGTCGAGGACCGGGCCGCGGGGACACTAAAGCCCCGAAATCATCTCAAGATAACCCCCCTGGATGGTGATGCAATCCACGTAGCACCCACTGGGGTGGTGGTGCAACCCATGTAGCACCTCCTGGGTGGTGGTGCAACCCATGTAGCACCCCCTGGATGGTGGGGCAACCCGTGAAGCACGCCCAGAGTGGTGGTGCAACCTATGTAGCATCTCCTGGGTGGTGGTGCAACCCATGTAGCATCTCCTGGGTGGTGGTGCAACCAATGTAGCACCCCAAGGATGGTGGTGCAACCTATGTATCACTCCCTGGGTGGTAGTGCAACCCATGTAGCACTCACTGGGTGGTGGTCCAAACCCTGTAGCACCCCCTGGGCAGTGGTGCAACCCATGTAGCACCATGGGTGGTGCTACACCTGGGTGGTGGTGCTACACCTGGGTGGTGGTGCAACCCATGTAGCACCCCCTGGGCAGTGGTGCCACCCATGTAGCACCCACTGGGTGGGGTTGCAACCCATGTAGCACCACCTGGATGGCTAAGCAACCCATGTAGCACCCACGGGGTGGCGGTGCATCCCATGTAGCACCACCTGGATGGGGGTGCAACCCATGTTGCACCCCCGGGTGGTGGTGCAACCCATGTAGCACCCATTGGTGGTGGTGCAACCCATGTGGCTTCCTCGTGGGTGGTGGTGCTACCCATGTAGCATCCCCTGGGTGGTGATGCAACCCATGTAGGACCACCTGGGTGGTGGTGGAACCCATGTAGCACGCCTGGAAGGTGGTGCAACTCATGTGGCACCCCCTGGGTGGTGCAACCCATGTAGCACCATATGGGTGGTTTTGCAACTTATGTAGCACCCCCTGGGTGGTGGTGCAACCCATGTGGCACCCACTGGCAGGTGGTGCAACCAATGTAGCACTACCTGGATGGTGGTGCAACCCATGATGCACCCCCTTGGTGCTGGTGCAACCCATGTGGCATGTCCTGTGTGGTGATGCAACCCATGTAGGACACCTTGGGTGGTGGTGGTGCAAACCGTGTAGCCCCCCTGGATGGTGGTGCAACCCATGTAGCAACCCCTGGGTGGTGATGCAACCCACGTAACACCCACTGGGTGGGATTGCAACCCATGTAGCACGATCTGGGTGGTGGTGCAACCCAACTAGCACCCCCGTGCCTGGTAGTGCAACCCATGTAGCATCCCTTGGGTGGTGGTGCAACCCCTGTAGCACCACCTGGCTGGCGGTGCAACCCATGTAGCACCACCAGGGTGGTGTTGGTGCAACCCGTATGTAGCACCCCCTGGGTGGTGGGGGTGCAACCCGTATGTAGCACCCCCTGGGTTGTGGTGGTGCAACCCATATGTAGCACCCCTGGGTGGTGGTGGTGCAACCCATATGTAGCACCCCTGGGTGGTGGTGGTGCAACCCATATGTAGCACCCCCTGGGTGGTGGTGCAACCCATGTAGCACCCCTGGGTGGTGGTGCAACCAATGTAGCACCCCTGGGTGGTGGTGCAACCCATGTAGCACCCCCCAGGGTGGTGGTGGTGCAACCCGTATGTAGCACCCCCTGGGTGGTGGTGCAACCCATGTAGCACCCCTGGGTGGTGGTGCAACCCATGTAGCACCCCCTGGGTGGTGGTGCAACCCAACTAGCACCCTCTGGGTGGTGGTGCAACCCAGCTAGCACCCCCTGGGTGGTGGTGCAACCCATATTGCAACCCCTGGGTGGTGGTGCAACCCATATTGCAACCCCTGGGTGGTGGTGCAACCCATGTAGCACCACCTGGATGGTGGTACAACCTCTGAACCACCCACTGGGTGGTGGTTCAACCAATGTGGCACTCCTTGGTTTTTGGTGCAACCCATGTACCACCCCCTGGGTGGGGTTGCAACCCATTTAACACCCACTGGTTGGTGGTTCAATCTATGCAGCACCACCTGGATGGTGGTGCAACCCATGTAGCATCCCTAAGTAGTGGTGCATCCTATGTAGCACCCCCTGGCTGCTGGTGCAACCCATGTAGCACTCCTTGGCTGGTGGAACAACCCATGTAGCACGCCCTGGCTGGTGGAGCAACCTATGTAGCATCCCCTGGGAGGTGGTGCAAGCCATGTAGCACCACCTGAGTGGTGGTGCAACCCATATAGCACACCTTAGGTGGTGGTGCAACCCATGTAGCACCTCCTGGGGGGCGGTGGTGCAACCCATGTAGCACCTCCTGGGGGGCGGTGGTGCAACCCAGGAAGCACCCCCTGGGGGGGTGGTGGTGCCACCCATGAAGCTCCCCACTGGGTGATGGTGCAACCCATGAAGCACCCCAGTGGGTGGTTGTGCAACCCATGTAACACCCCCTGGGTGGTGGTGCAACCCATGTAGCACCCCCCTGGGTGGTGGTGCAACCCATGTAGCACCCTCATGGGTTGTGCTGCAACCCATGTAGCACCCTCATGTGCTGTGGTTCAACCCATGTAGCACCTCCTGGGTGGTGGTGCAACCAATGTAGCACCCCCTGGGTGGTGGTGCAACCAATGTAGCACCCCCTGGGTGGTGGTGCAACCAATGTAGCACCCCCTGGGTGGTGGTGCAACCCATATAGCACACCCTGGGTGGTGGTGCAACCCTTTGTAGCATCCCCTGGATGGTGGTGCAACACATGTAGCACCCCCTGGGTGGTGGTGCAACCCTTGTAGCACCCCCTGGGTGGTTGTGCAACCCATTTAGCATCTCCTGGGTGGTGGTGCAACCCATGTAGCACCCACTAGGTGGTCGTGCAACCCATGTTGCACCCCCTGGGTACGGGTGCCACCCATGTAGCACCTGTGTGGTCGTGCCTTTCATGTAGCACCCCCTGGGTGGAGGAGCAAACAATATAGCACCCCCTGAGTGGTTGTGCAACCAATGTGACACCCCCTGGGTGGCGGTGCAACCCATGTGGCACGTCCAGTGTGGTGGTGCAACTCGTGTAGCACACCGTGAGTGGTGGTGCAAACCGTGTAGCACCCACTGGGTGCTGGTGTAACCCATGTAGCACCCCCATAGGTTGTGGTGCAACCCATGTAGCACCTCTTGGCTGGTGGAGCAACCCATGTAGCACCTCCTGGGTGGTGGAGCAACCCATGTAGCACCCCCTGGGTGGTGGTTCAACTCATGTAGCACCTCCAGGGGGGGGGGTGGTGGTGCAACCCATGTAGCACCCCCTGGGTGGTGGTGCAACCCATGTAGCATCCCTCTGGGTGGTGGTGCAACCCATGTAGCACCCCTGGGTGGTGGTTCAACTCATGTAGCACCTCATGGGTGGTAGTGCAACCCATGTAGCACCCCTTGGGTGGTGGTGCAACCCACGTAGCACCCCCCGGGTGGTGGTGCAACCCATGTAGCACCCCCTGGGTGGTGGTGCAACCCGTATGTTGCACCCCCTGGGTGGTGGTGGTGCAACCTGTATGTTGCTCCCCCTGGGTGGTGGTGGTGCAACCCGTATGTTGCATCCCCTGGGTGGTGGGGGTGCAACCCATATGTAGCACCCCCTGGGAGGTGGTGGTGCAACCCGTATGTAGCACCCCCTGGGAGGTGGTGGTGCAACCCATATGTAGCACCCCCTGAGTGGTGGTGGTGCAACCCATATGTAGCACCCCCTGGGTGGTGGTGGTGCAACCCATATGTAGCACCCCCTGGGTGGTGGTGCAACCCATATGTAGCTCCCCCTGGGTGGTGGTGCAACCCATATGTAGCACCCCCTGGGTGGTGGTGCAACCCATATGTAGCACCCCCTGGGTGGTGGTGGTGGTGCAACCCATATGTAGCATCCCCTGGGTGGTGGTGGTGCAACCCATATGTAGCACCCCCTGGGTGGTGGTGCAACCCATATGTAGCATCCCCTGGGTGGTGGTGGTGCAACCCATATGTAGCATCCCCTGGGTGGTGGTGGTGCAAACCATATGTAGCATCCCCTGGGTGGTGGTGGTGCAACCCATATGTAGCATCCCCTGGGTGGTGGTGGTGCAACCCATATGTAGCACCCCCTGGGTGGTGGTGGTGCAACCCATATGTAGCATCCCCTGGGTGGTGGTGGTGCAACCCATATGTAGCATCCCCTGGGTGGTGGTGGTGCAACCCATATGTAACATCCCCTGGGTGGTGGTGGTGGAACCCATATGTAGCATCCCCTGGGTGGTAGTG